CAAAAAGACCTGACAGGACTCTTTCTTCAGCTTGACAGCATCCCTAACCGCCGGTGTCCACCAGCGGGTTCGGGGGTTGCCACCACGACAGGCACCGACAATCCTGCGACCACAGCTCCGGTCGGCCGCCTCAACAATGGAGGCACGGAACAGGGTCCATTCAGACTCAATGTCCCCCGCCTCCCCCGGAACATTCTGGAAGTTCTGTTGGAGGTGGGAATTGAAGCTCCTTCTGACAGGAGACTCTGCCGGACGTTCCCAGCAACCCTCGTGATACGTTTGGGCCTTTATAATAAATATCTGCTGCAGATCAAAGATTTTATTGTGCAAAAACAAACTTATATTCTAATAATATAACCAATAAATAAATAAATAAATCCAAACTAATCATATCAGAAGTGATGAAACAGAAATTTCTACTAAAGCACCAGCTGGTTCTGAATCAAGGCCTCTGGGCCATTGTGGAAACATCAAACAGAACAGGTCAGGAGCCGTCATCTGGTTCCAAAAGGAAACAAGACCAAACCAGCAGGAGATTCTGGTTCTCTTTGTTTAAGAGTCAGAATAAACATGGCCCCAGATCATCAGGGACACACAAAGACTAAGATCTGCCATCGTCCACATCCGTGACCTACTGCTAATCCAGATGTATGATGGGCTTAAAGAAACACTTGACATGTAAAGGCTGCTGTTCCAGTGGCGGTCGCCCTCAGACCTCCTCAGGACTTCAGTCTGAAATCAAATATGGAGCCATTCAGGGCAATCAGGGACATGCTGCAGCTTAGCCGGTGAGAATGGAGAGGGTGCAACAGGAAGTGCCAACACACCGTAGCACCTCTTTATCCTCCAGACGTTTTTCTCTCTCAATCTACAGTAAAATCAGGATAGGAAACGGGTCTTAGGATCATAATAAACTGTCTAGTGTGGCTTGAGTCACTTGATTCTCTTATTTTGACGAGACACAGGATAGAATTTCCTGTGTTTTTATCCTGTAGAGCAGAAATAAATCTTCTACATTTCTAACTGAGTCGTCGTGTTAAAGAATCACGATGATTCGTTGATGAAGCTCCAGTGAACGACATGCCTGGGCACGTCAGCGAAAAAGCCTCAGAGTTCATTCCTGTTTATCTGGCAGGAAGGAGCGTTGATTTTAAATAAAGGTAAAGTTTTCTAGTGAATTTTGTCCTACAGAATTTACAGCTCCTGTTTTCTCCATCAGAGCTTCATTTTGAACAATCAGTCATCTTTGTTTAAATGATTTCTATAATTTCACTTTCTGTTAACAGGCTCAAACCCGGTGCATAAAAGGTTTTGCATGGTTAAACCTCCTCTGCTGCCGTTTCTACATGTTCAGACCTGACCTGTGGAATTTAACCTGGAAGGTAGAAACTTTAGAGGGAGGGAGCTTGACTCTTAGCAAAGTGGAAAACACCTGAACATCTCTGTATGCAGGAGATATTAAAGGTTTGTTGTAGGGCTGGGCGATATGGACGAAAACTTATATCTCCATATTTTTTAGCTGAATCCCGAAATACGATATATTTCTCGATAGTTTTCCTCCTGTAAAATATTTACAAATTAAATCGTTTCGGCCATATCGTTTATTTCTTGTTCACAGAAATAAAATCTGTCATGTTAAGCTAAATTTATGATGATGTAATTGCATCTTCTGAAGGTCACATGGGTCATGCACAGTGGAGTTATTAGTGATCAGGGCAAACATGGCTGCAGTCTAGCAGTATCGGCTCATATCAGTGATTATACTGTAATGACTCAGAGTCTCTGGTTGCTCTTTTATGAGTATTATTTTCGGGCTTCTGTCGCCGTTACCCGCGCCTTACAGACTCTTAACTTTCTCAACAGAGTCGCTCGTAACGGAGTATTTACTAGCATAGCAAACCAGAGCGGAAAAAAACGGAACGGAACAACATTTCTCACCCGTTGAGCTTGCCTTCAATAAAACATTGACCCTCTAGTTTACTATTCAAACCCTTACAATACGTTTGAGGTAATTTGGCCACTCTGGCTGTCCGTAGATGTTTCCTCATTACACAGGGGAGGGAGGGGTTTGGCTCGTCTCCGCACGAGCAGAATGGATAAACAGAACTCCGCTGGCGTTGAACGTCCCCAAATAATTAAAAACCAGGAAGCTAAATGCAAAGTTTAGAGCAGCACATTTACCCAGAGGCTCTCAGATAGAGCAAACTTGTGAGAATACACATAATAACCGCTTAGAGACGGAGCAACATGTCCCTAGCATAGCGGCTAATCGCTAGCATAGCAGTTTGACCAGTTATATCGATATAAAGTCATCTTATATCTTGTTTAAAAATTATACTGATATTTTAAAAACATCGATATATCGTCCAGCCCTAGTTTGTGTGTGACAGGAGAGCAACGAAGCTGCAGAGTCTCTGGTTTATCCAGTAAAAACATTCAGTGGAGAATTGTTAGCTAAACAGCTGGATGGATTATAATGAAACTCAGACAGAAATGACTGGATAAACGTCTGATTAACTGTTGGAGTCAGCCTGATCCAAGATGGCTGCCACATTTATTTAACAAGAGCAAAATCTGTGTAATGAAGTGTTAATTACATTTAATTAAGGACCATAAGACATTAAAAATTCATATCGAGTATGAATTCCATCTAATCGACACTGGGTTATTTAAATCAGAAGACTGGATCTTTTTATTACAGGGATTTAAATAAACACTTTGTACTAACAGAGACAAGAGAAGAGAGAGAGACCTTCAAACGTTTAAGGAAATTTATTACTAAATAATTTTAAACAATGTAACAAGACTAACTCTCTAATGGTGGATGATCTGTTTGGATGAAGTGTGAGGTGGGTGGTGTGTGTGTGAATGAGTGTTAAATTCAGAACCCTCGTATCCGGAGAACAAAGTCTGAGTGGGAGATGATGTTTTGCTCCTAACTGATCAGAGTTTGAGACTCGTAGTCATAAACACATGAGACGCCATTTTGTCGCATCCACATACCCTCAGTGAGACCTCCGTACAGATCTGGATGCCAGGTCCACGACCCTCCTCTGGTACTGGAGCCGATAGAACAGCGTCGACAGTACGACAAACCAGTCCTTGGATAGTCTCCAGGTAAAAAGCGACGGGTGGTTCACAGCGTTAAAAGGAGACCCTCCTTGGGTCAGCGAGTTCAGCTTTTATTCTGAAAGAACCGTTGCTGGTTGGTAACAAAACAACATAATTTTCTCAGCTTGAATGATTCTCAGCTTAAAAAGAGAAGTACAGATGTCCTGTCCTTACTTCTCTTAACATGCGGTGAACTTCATGGGATCTTGAGAACTGAACTTAAGATGGCGTTGGAACTGTTTTATTAATCTGGATGTTTTTGATTCTGGACGAATCAAAGCTGACAGATTTAATAAACACCACAGACTATGCCACGCTTCAGACTAGGAAGGTTCTGATTGGATCAGTACAGCAATGTGTCATGTGATTGTTTTCCTTACTTGTGTCTAGTGGACTAGAATAAGTCATTTACTTATTAAAAACATATTAATCATAATATTGTGATTTCACAGATCGGTCACATTGTATTATTGACTAACAGTTGTTTAGATTAGCTTTATTGAAAATAGAGTTATATGATTTAATAAAAGAAAAGAAAAGAGTCTTCATCTTCTGTCTTCATCACTGGAACGTAAACCGTTTAGAAGCGAATGCATGACCTTGAGGCTGTTTCATGCACTCTGGCGCTGTGTCAGAGGGAACTGTGGAAAAGGTTAAATAACCTTGGAGGAATAGCTCCTGCATCACGTTACAACTGAAACGGCTCTAAATCCGACATGTTAGCAGCTGAGAGACGTTCCGATTGTTAGGTTTTCACTTATGCTTTACCCCTTTAAGAAGCTAAGAGGACAGAGAAAAGATAAGAACAGATGAGAAAGAAACCTGGGTATAAAAATATGTTCCTTATTTAATCAAAACACACCTTATTTTTGTTACACAACTTACACATGTTCTTGGGGCTGGAGGTTCTAACACAATCTACTAGACACAGCCCAACAAAGAAAACTCCTGAGTCAAATAAACAGCTAATAAAGAAAAATCACAGCTTTTAATTAAAAGCTGGAAAACAGACTAATCAACAGATCTCAGGTAGCTTTTAAAATGAAATAGTTACTTGGGCTGGTAAGAGTTTCTGTAACCCAAACGGCTCTCTGAAGCCAAACAAAAGAACCTTTTAAAGAACAGAGAATACTTAGTTTTCTGTCCAGGCACATATACTAGCGTGAAGCAATTGGCTACAAACCACTGACTCAAGCTTAAACAGAATACCATGCAGAGGCTTTCCTCTAAACGCGCGCACAATTGTATTCTAAAGTCAGGGTGTTCAGAACGGAGCAGAAATGGAGACTACTCATGGGTTAGGAGTAGCTCCACGGGCGTGTATCCAGCGTTCCTTTTATCCCCTCTCGGGAACAAACACACTCAGTCCAAGATGAGCTGCAGGTGTGACTGCAGCAATTCGGAGCGGAGACTTCCCCGTGACGTCATCGGAGAGAACGTCCGCAGCGAGGGAATCCCGGCACGTCTCCACAGCAACGGGGACGCCACCCTCCAGCGATGTCTTGCGCCGGTGTGTCCTTAACGCGCCATTTTAAACAAACACAATAATAATAATAATAAAAAAGAAAACAGCACATTTACGGCCACACATGAGTGGGGAACGTAACACTCTGAGATAACAGATCTAAAACTAACTAGAATTCAGAAATTTCTCAACATCAGATGATCTGAAACTGGTTAAAGCAGCGAGTCGTGAGGATTCCTTCAGGGCATCACCATCATGGTGCCAGGGTTCAGGTTAATGTTGGATTGTCATGGCGTGTAAAATAATACGTGGTTCGAGTGACTAAGACGCCAAAAAAAACAACAACATCATAACAACTGTTGTCTCCTTGTCTAATTTCTCTGAAATGAAATATAAAACTGTAATGATGCTCGTCTCTTTGCAGACTCAGCACCGACTCCAACTGTAAAGAGGCTGGCTGGGACCTCTGACGGCTGCAGGCTGCTGTGTTCTGTAGACAAACGGACCTCTCTGCTGTGGTATAAAGATGAGGAGATACTGAACCAGAACCACTCTGTGTTCTCTTTACTCATCACTGTTCAGAACCAGGACCAAAACTCCTCCTATAGATGTGTATCTGCCAACCCAGCTGATAGTAAGACTCATCATCTCAATGTGAGGGAGTCGTGTGCATTGAACCTCGGGCAAACTGGGATTGGTAATCCAAGAATTCGTAAGAATGAGCATCATATTAGTTTCTAAAATTAAAATCATCAGATTTAAAATACAGTTTTTGCTTGATGAAGTAATTTGTGTTTCTCTTACAGGTTTGTTTACGTATGCTTTCCCCACCTTATGTATTGTGATGATCGTTCTAGTCGGATGTCTGATAAAACAGAGGTTTCTCAGGAAAAAGAGACAAGGCAGGTATTTGTTGCTTTTATCATAATAATGTAAATGTGAGCTTCAGGTGGTTTTGTTCATGTCTTTGTTAAACCTGCTGGTTCTGATGGGAGAGGACAGTGAACCCTCTGGCTGCTGAGACATAAGTCGTATTACAGACACCACCTGTCGGTGTTTTCCACAGGTAATGATGAGGCTCGCTGTGTAATTAGAGCTGATGGCTGGTGTGTTAAAATGACAGGATCTTGTGGGAGTTTGGTCATCCAGGGAGTTTCCAGAGCTTCACAGCACAACACAACCAAAACGAGAGATCCGATTCGGCCCATGAAACCAGAATTAGCACAGAAACACGACAGACACTAGAGTTAATGTGTTAACATTATGCCATGCTTTTATTCTGGAATGCACAGGGAATTATGCGGAACATTTATAACTTCCTGTTTATCGCACAGGAAACCCCCACAGCCCCTCCATTATCTCCTCCTGTTGGTTCCTGTTAAACCATAACGGCTTTTATTTCCCAGCAGCTCCATCTGCCTGCAGGTCATGTGACTGAATGACTGATGAGGTGATTTCAACGAACTATCGATGGAAACAAGAAGCTCATGAATTTCATGTTACTCATTTATCAGCAGACTAGTGTGTCTGCTCGAGACCTCGGCTCTATTTTAGACAGAGGTGGAAAGAGTACTAAAATTTCCTACTTAAGTACGAGTACCAGTACTTTGATAATGTTTTACTCAAGTACAAGTAAAAGTACTTGCCTAAATTTTTACTCAAGTAAAAGTAAAAAGTATTGTAAATAAAATGTACTCAAAGTAAAAGTTACTTAGTTACATTTTTGTCAGCATAATGATGGTTACATCAGTGCAAAACCACAACACCAGTTCACACACGCTCGTGTGTGCACGCACACACACGGACACACACACGGTTTGATGGAGGGATTTCTATCCAACCAGTGAGAACAGGACGTGCACATTGATTGGACGAGGTTTTTCTAGGATTGTACGTTTCAATTGTGATTAAAATTATTCTTTATTTTGAAAAGAAAAGTTAATTTTTAGATGCCATCGGCATGTGAGCTATCTCAATGTTCTCATGACAAAACTCTAACATGAGACTGTGCTCTAACCTGTCACATAACAAGCTAAATGAAAGTCAAACATGTCAGATGGAGCGTATGACAGCTGCTAACGTTGGCCCTGCCCTACTTTACCTCTACATTACAGTTCCTTTATCCGTGTCCATCCTAGAGCTCCTCTCTGACCTTCATGCTTATTTAGAGCAGCTGATTTTTAAAGTTAGCAGAGTTCATCCTCGGTGGTGGGTTCACTCACTCATTTAAAGATATCGGCCAGAGGCTAAATTCGTTTGAACAGCATGTGTAAATGTTTATTAAAACCTCAGATGATAAAGGTTTTTGGATTTTGACGTCTGGAATTGTAAGAAAATCTGATGTTTGTGACCGGCGCGGGAAAAACAGAAACAAACTTCCGGTCTAAGCCCTGGGAAGCAGTTGACGTTTCACATGGAGCTCTGCTGAAACAGCTGTAGTAAACAACACCTGACTCCGGTGTTTCTGCGTTAGCGTTATAGCAGAGAACAATGTGTCATCAGTCAGATGTAGCTTCTGAAGCCTCTGCTAGTCCATCAGATTTGTTTTTTGTATAAATATACAAAAAAGCTACTCAATTACAGTAACATGAGTAAATGTAATTCATTACTTTCCACCTCTGATTTTAGACACACACACAAACACACAGGTGTGCTGCTATACCAGGTAACACGAGGTTAGTGTTTTTTTACCACCACAGTTTCCATGGAGACGATCATGTTTTAGGATCTGCGTTTCTTTCACATGTTAAAAATACTTTTGGTCAAAACCATGTTCGAAGATTTCAAAATTCAGTAAATTGTTTTAAAATTTAAAAAGATTTTTTAAACTATAAAAAGGCTAATATTTTTGATGTTTTCATATTTAGTGGGGTGTTCCACAGGGCTCTCTGCTCATGCTCTTTAGTTTCTCTTTTAGAGAAGGCCTTCTTTCTTGTGCTTTTTGGTTTTTGTTCAAACTAACCAGTTATCCGAAACAAATCAAAGCCTTTTGTGGTTTAAAAGAAAAGGTTCTGATCTTCGGATCAGCAGAGGTCACCTGGTGGTCCAGTCCCTTCAAATGAATGCTTTTGTTTTGTTCGGCCTGAAATGAATCCTCTTATGTTTAGTCTCCTCGCTTGCAGACTGTAACCACTAACGTAAAGCCCAAAGAGCAGGTTTAAAATGTCTGTAACTTCTCTTTGTCTCAGACAGGTTCTGTAATGCTCTTGATCCTCTATAACCCTGTATTATCCTGCTTTTTACGTTCTCATTGAAGATGACCAGTACATCGATGTACTGGTCTGGATCCGGATCCAGACAGGAGTCAGCTGCTGTCTGGGAATATAAATTTAATGATGATTTATATCTTTGCAGAGTCCCTCAAAGCCGAGGACGTCCAGTATACAACAGTACAGATAAGATATGACAGACGCAATCAGGTGAGTAAACAAACCCCTCCCCGTTTGTTTCTATTCGCTCCCAGAAGGTCAACTCATTGTGTTTACACAGAGCTTCAGAGATTATGTCGTCCATCTTTTAGTAAGCACTTCTGCTCTTGTTGCTCAGTCTGAGCCGCAGGTCAGGTTTCAACAGTTCAAAATGAGTCAAAAATAGAAATAAACAAGCTCACAAGTTAAATAAATAACTCCTAAAACCCCAGCAGACACCGATCAAACCATCAGCACAGATGTGAGCTATAAAGATGATCTCACTCAGTTTGAGTTGACTTTAGAAAACCTGAAACGTGCGACCGTAAAGACCAAACCTAGTCAACAGCTCAAAAAGATGGAGACGTAGCCTCTAGAGTCAGCTTTGGGTTCTAAACTCTGATGTTTGGATGATTTTAATGATTCTGGGGTCAGAGTGAAGATCACATGAAGGGATCAGGAGGTAGCGGATCTGTTGGGTGGACAGAAGGTCTGGATGTGGAGTAGTCACAGAGCTGCTGGGTATCAGGGCGTGTACAACACTACATGGAATGAGTGATGAGGACACGGGTGTCTCAGGAGGTTAGAAAAACAATTAGTGACCTGAATGTTAAAGGCTTGAAGACCACGTCCAATCAGCAACAGCAATGGGACTTGGGGCAATGAGGGATAAGTGTCCACATCATAACCGGAGGGTTGCAGGTTCGCTCCCCACTCAGGCTGTTGCAGTCTTTGTGTCCTTGGGCAAGACACATCACCCACCCTGCTGGTGGTGGTCAGAAGGACTCGCGTCCCACCCTCTTGTCAGTTAGGGTTAGGGTTCGTCCCTCCGACTACAGTTGGTCAGATTAGTCAGATGTTTAAGGTCCACAGGAGGACATCAGACAACCTCCCTTGACATGGACACAAGAGGACAACCAGTGATACCCTGAAGAGATGAATAATCTGAATGGAAACCTGAAGCCTAAAACAGCTTCCACAGAGGTTAGAGGTCAACTCCAAGGTCAAGGTTGATCATCGTCAGACCTAGGTGACCTATAATGGGCCTGATGGAAGAAGACCCTGGGTGCCATATAGCAGGGGAACGTTAGGACAATCCATGATGGACAGACGTCCTCTAACAGGACAATGACATCTAAAAACACCAAGAACGGATCAGAACCAAAGACCGGTTTGTTCCAGTCTCCTGCGAGACCTGGTGAAGTTGAAGGTTCCCTCGTTTTAGTCCAGATCAGTTTGGTTTTCAAAAACGCTGAGTCTGATCTAAACGGATGTGGAACCAGAACTCCGTTCCTCTTTTAAAGTCGGGATTTCTGACTGAGCAGCAGCTTTTTACCCACAGGCTGTTTTTATTCCCACAGGGAGGAAACCCTCCAGAACCATCCGGAGGGGCTGAAAACGCCGCCCTAACATCCATCTACACCATGCTGGAGCATCATTCCCCCAACCAGACGACGCCTGATGTCCACGTTTAACCCTCTGGAGGCAGGCGTTGCAGATTAGCACCCCTGAAGGACGTAGTTGTTCGTCCTTTTATCCGGACTTATTTTGAGCCTGAGAGGGTTACCTACAAACGGATTCTTCATACAAACATTGTCTCGTCTTTTTGGCTCCACATTTCATTTTGTACGTATTTATTGCTTGTGTCTGTTTCTGAGGTTTTCTGTTACGGAGTCTTTTCACCTCACCTTTCATCCTTAGTGCAGCAGGCAGGACAAATCTGGATCTGCTGTTTCCTCTCAGTCTTTCAGGTGCATCAGGTCGTTTATGTTTGTAAAGCAGAGTAAACATTTATGCATGTCACTGAGTCACAACATCACATTTATTTTATGATAAATTGCATCTATCTTACGATATGGCAGCTAAATAATAAACCATCATTAATACATTTTGAATCTTATTCTTCAAACAGACGTTCTCTTTACTTTTCCTGTTTTTGTTTTTTATTTTTCTTTGTTTCCATTTCTGCTGGCTTCACTTCCTGTTATTTTACCTTTTCTTGTGCTTGTGTAATGTCCACAAATGGTCAGTTTTTAGGTACAGTTTGACCGTCCAACATCTGGTCAAAAAGGAGACACGAGACTGCACGTGTTCCCTTTAAATCGGCCTGCCTTCATGCCACCAGCTGGAGCTCAGAGCCTGCAGCTCTGACACAGATAATGAAATGTCAACAGTAACGTTCTCTCCTCAAGGTCCCTCACAGAGCACCCTTTTATCTAAGACTCCTTGCTTCACAGAAGAAAGAAGATTTTAAAATTAAATAAACTTCTAAAACTTATAAATTAGATAATCAGAAAAAATGTTTGTTAATTGCTACTTATGATTATAAAATAATGAAACGTTTCATTAGTCCGTTCGCATGTTTACTTGACCAGGTCATAACCATTTACACTCACACAAGAACAAGTAAGGTAAAGTTAAGCCCATGACACATAAATAGCCTTTACCCCAGATCAGAGCCTCCCGTATCAAAGGAGTGTGTTTCTGAGATTCTTGGTAATAATCCTCAAACTTATCAACCTCTGGTTGGCTACACAATCATAACATGAGAACATTAAAACCAGATTACTCGGGTTTTCCCTCAGTTCTAGAGAAAGCTTCAGACTGGCCACCTGAAGCAAACCTCTTTAACCCACCAAAGCTTTCGACACGTCGTCAAAACCTTTTTGCACCTGCGAAGCTGACACAGCAAAACAGTTCCTGCAGAACAAGCTGATTTATTCAACTCCTTAAGAGTTATTCCTGAGACGCAAACTAGTTCCAACTGTCGTTACCTGGAGATGACTGGACTGACCTGGTCGTACTGCAAGTTAATCTATGGACTTGGGTACCTGGGGTCTCCGACTCCCCCCCTGACATCTCGGATCCAAAAGGTGTCTCCACTTGGGTACGTAGAACACAGTGAGATTGCGTCTGGATGTGGTTTTGATAATAATCAACCTCCCGGTGACGTATCTCCTAGGCAACCGGGGCGGGGGCCAAAACATCAAGGCATGGTTTCTTGGCTTTGAGAAACCCCCTTCGACCCGCTCCATGTATTTTAGAACAGATTTTTATGGTTATATGTTATGAAACTGCCAACATTTTTAAACTACTGGGCATCTTTTAAGTCATTTACTACAACATTTCGATGGATATTTCCAGAGATTAATGGTAAAAACTACACATTGTCGCTTTAATCAGTCTGGTGACGAAAGCAAAACATGGGAAATCTGCAGGATGGTGGCCCTGGAGGGCCATGCTGACATCTGGTGTTCAAATTGAAGATTAGAAGAAAAGAAGAAGAAAATATCATTTCTATAGCACCTCCCAAGATAAAAATCACGAGGTGCATTACAAAAACAAAAAATGTAAAAAAGCATTTAGAAAATGGTTAAAAATATATTTAAAATGAGCAAAAATAGACAATTGTGATTAAAAATTGTTAAGAAAGAGAGAGAGTGAACAGGAAAGAGGGAAACCAGTGGATCCTGAGGAAGGTGGAATAGGTGGGGAGAGCAGAATAAAGAGAGAGAGGTGAAGAAGGTCATACAAAAGCCAGCTTGAACAAGTGAGTCTTCAGCTGCTTTTTAAAGGAGACCACTGAGTCCACTGATCTCAGGCTCAGGGGGAGAGAGGTCCAGAGTCTGGGGGCCACAGCAGCAGATGATCTGTCACCTTTGACCTTTAGCCTGGTGCTGCACAACCAGTAGGCTTTGATCACTGGACCTCAGGGACCTGCTGGGGGTGTAGGGACTAAGAAGATCACCAATGTAAGATGGTGCTTGTCCATGTAAGGCCCTATAGACCAGAACCAGGATCTTGAAATGAACCCTGAAGTTGACTGGCAGCCAGTGAAGCTGGAGGAGAAGCGGGGTGATGTGGGTGTGTTTGGAGGACTTGGTCAGAAGCCGAGCACAGGCGTTCTGAACCACCTGTAGACGGTTCAGGGAGGTTCTGCTCAGACCTCCCTGAACCTTAACTAGTTGGAGGACGGTCAGGATTGACCGTCCTCCAACTCAACAGACTCAGCATGAAACAATTGCACAGAGAGAACCCTGTGAGCAAAACTACACTAGTTATAAATGTCTGGGATAATAGGACGTTTTTCCCATGATGTCTAGCAGGAAAGAATGTTGTCTTTGATGTGGACAGACCATGTGCACAAAGACATGATGATGTGGGATAAATGTGTGAATAACAGTATTTTTTACGTTTGTGTTTTTATTCATTTTTATATGATCTCCATTGAATCCAGTGCTCTTATTTGCTGTGAACCCAGTTGAAACTGTTCCTTTAGAAATAGCAGGTAAATAAGGAAGCCTTGAAGCTGAACTATAACGTAACTCATTCCAGAAAAATGTTTCCAACTCACAATAAAAATGTCCAGTTCATTTATATCCTCATTAAAATAAAACAAGGACAATTGACAAGGAGCTTAAGATCATTGCAGAAATGAAATGTCTCTGAGTTCAATGAGAAAATGGTTTAGTTTGTTAAACCAGCTTTTATAAATAAAGCTTTCCAGCCAATAATTTTCCCATTAACAATTTTAGATATAAAACCCTTTATTTGACCTTTCCTTCGAAAGGTGTGATGTATTTTTCCAGATATTAGTTTAATAAACCTGACTGAACGCTTTAATTACAGATCAGTGGCTGGATTTTAGTAAACATAAATAAATGTTTGTGGACACGCCCCTTCAAAGCTAGGCTACATTCTTCTCCAGATAATTCAGATCTTTGGAGGAAAAATTGAAACCCAAATGTTTACCAGCTGATTTACCCGGATGTTGTGATGCTTCACATAAGATTCAAACCAGAAGCGTTAAAAAAAAGATTTTTAATGGATTCATGAATCCGTTGGGAACTTTGGCGTTTGCTTTGTACCACGTGACACACCATACGCGATGTGGTTAGTTCCGGTGTAACAAGGTTCAAGTTCCTCCGGTCCGTCAGCGATACGGAACACGCTTATCTCAGTTGTAGTTCTGAGCAGCTCCGCCGCTGGACCGAGCCGATCCGGACCAGGAGCAAGGGGACACACTGAGCACGAGACTGCGCGGTCACGGTACATAGACGGTTTTTCACTTAGGACAAAATGAGTGATAACACCGCGGACACGAGCACGCTCTGCCTGTTTGATGTTGACGGTACACTCACGGCCGCGAGACAGGTAAACAACGTGTCTACAAACAAACAAACAACCAGCTGTTAAACAGCTGATAAATATTATGTCTGTCCAACTTCCGGCTCCACGTATTTGCTGTAGTCCATCCGGGGAAAAATGCGTCCCCTGGAAACAAACTACATGTAGTTCCGGTCTGACCGTCTCTAATTGACTGGTGTGTGTGTGTGTGTGTGTGTGTGTGCGTGCGTGCGTGCGTACGTGTGTGTTTGTGTGTTTGTGTGTGTGTGTGTGTGTGTGTCTACAGTGTGTGACTCCTGAAATGAAAGCTTTACTGGAGAAGTTAAGGACTCGGGTCCGAGTCGGAGTGGTCGGGGGGTCAGATCTCAGTAAGATCCAAGAGCAGCTGGGAGACGATGGTGAGATGTTTGATTGCTGATCTGCCTGAAAACCTTCTAGACTCTCAACGTTTCTTCTCGTTTCCTTCTCAGTGATCCAGATTGTGGACTACGTGTTCGCCGAGAACGGTCTGGTCGCCTATAAAAACGGACAGTTACATTCCATCCAGGTGAGACTGAAGGACCCTGTCCACTGATGCAGGAGGAGACACGTCTCCCTCTTAGAGGCTTCAGGAGGTTGTTTTGTGTTTCCAGTCCATCCAGGCCCACATGGGGGAGGAGCTCCTGCAGGACTTCATCAACTTCTGTCTCAACTACATGGCTAAAATCAAGCTGCCCAAGAAAAGGTACGGAGTCATGATCCTAGCTCCGAGGAAGGTTCTGGTTCTTATATTTACTCTGATGTATCACGCCTCAGACTGGATGGAGCTAAAATATTTAATAATCTGGATTATTAAAGACGCATCTGGGTGTCTGCTGCTGTATTTTAGGCTTACATTTTAATGAGCTGTGATCTAAGTGAGCTCCTGAGTTTGATGTTTTCACGGCTCATTAACAGCGAGGTTATAATGAATCACATGTGAATGTTTTCAGAGGAACGTTCATCGAGTTCCGTAACGGAATGCTGAACATCTCTCCTATCGGACGAAGCTGCACTCAGGAGGAACGCCGAGAGTTTTACGAGCTGGATCAGGTACAAACGACTCTCGATGCTGGATGGTCAGTGAACGCATCATTTAGAGCTGCAGGTGCTTCTTCACCTGGACTCAAGGATAGAACTACAGTTCAGCTCCAGGACCTTAAAGGTTTTATTTTTTATTATTTTCCAGAAAGAGAAAATCAGGGAGAAGTTTGTTTCTGTGTTGAAGGAAGAGTTCAAAGGAAAAGGGTTGTCGTTTTCCATCGGTGAGTCCGACTCTTTTCAAACATTTCTCCTCTGAACGCATCAGAGCCTGCAGCTACACGAAAGATGAGGCCATTAAAATTCACACGTTACATAAATATCAGTGAGATTCCAACATTTTTAAACCCAGAAGCATCTGGAGGTTCTGGTCCCAGTGGGAGGAGTCCAGGTCACAGCAGATAGTTGGAGATGAAACTGTTGTGGGAACATCTGCTGCAGCTTCCAGCTCTGTGTTCCTCTGCAGGAGGTCAGATCAGCTTTGACGTGTTCCCTGACGGCTGGGACAAGAGGTACTGTCTGGGCATCGTGGAGGAGGACAAATACTCCAACATCCACTTCTTTGGAGACAAAACTAAACCGGTGAGTCTGTCAAAACGAGTCAGAACACGATTCAGTCAGAAAACGGACCGACCAATCAGAGGATAGATCCCTTTGGCTTTTTAAATATTTATGATGAACGTCAGCTGGAGCAAAACGTTGGATAGGAGAGGAGATGAAGACCACTGAGGATGTTGAAGACAAAAGTTTCACCTCCTAAAGTTTCTCCCTGTTTCCCAGGGAGGAAACGACTACGAGATCTTCTGCGACCCTCGGACCATAGGACACGAGGTGTCCTGTCCCGAGGAGACCCAGCAGCTGTGTGAGCAGCTCTTCTTCTCCTGAGGGTGGAGCTGGACGTCGGTTCGGAAGCATCGGGTGTTTACCCAGCGTGTTTCTGTAATCATAAATCTGTAATCAATTTATGTGTGTGCGTGTGCGTGTGTGTGTCTGTCTGTCTGGATCTGGATCTGGTTCTGGATCTGGATCTGGATCTGGATCTGGAGCCTCTGAGCTGCACCAGAAACAAACCGGACACTTCACCAGCGTCCAGCTCTAATCGCTTGGTTTTTGGGTTCATGAAGATGTTTCTGAGCTCTTCCTTGTTCTCGGTTCAGTCTAAACTGGTTCGGTCCAGTCTGTGTTCTGATCCAACCGGGAGCATGAAGCGGGTCACCCTCTGATGGGGAAGAACCAGCAGGTGTGTCGTGGACCACTGAAGGGTTAGGAGGACATGAGTTCTGCTGTAAAACGGGTCAGCTGGTAAAAAGGGAAAATGTTCAGCTACACTAACGGTTCCCAACGTCCGGGTCGGGGTCCCTCTGGGTCGCAAAGCACTAAGATCCGGGTCATAAACTCTAACGTGTTTGTGTCTGAGAGGAGACTGAACGTAAACAAAAAACAAACCTGAAATAGAAGAAAAATCCTAAATAAATGAAAGTTTCATCTAACTGAAGCCGTGTTTCATTTAAGTTCCGGCTCTCAGTCCATGAGAACATCAGGGTTCCTGGAAAGGTTCTGATCCTCAGAGAAACCCTACACACACATACATTTATACATATTCACACACACACTTACATATATACATTTACACACACACACATACATTTATACATATTCACACACACACTTGCATATATACATTTACACACACACACATATACATTTATACATATTCACACACACACACACACACACACATATATACATACAGATTCACACACACACATCAACATTTATACACTCACACACACACACACACACACACACACATACATTTATACATATTCACACACACATACAGGTGCTGGCCAGTAAATTAGAATATCATCAAAAGGTTGAAAATATTTCAGTAATTCCATTCAAAACGTGAAACTTGTACATTATATTCATGCAATGCACACAGACCAATGTATTTCCAATGTTCATTACATTTAAATTTGATATTCATAAGTGACAACTAATGAAAACTCCAAATTTGGTATCTCAAAAAATTAGAATATTCTGAAAAGGCTGAATATAGAAGACACCTGCTGCCACTCTAATCAGCTGATTTACTCAAAACACCTGCAAAGGCCTTTAAAAGGTCCCTCAGTCTTGTTTTGAAGGCACCACAATCATGGGGAAGACTTCTGACTTAACAGCTGTCCAAAAGACAATCATTGACACCTTGCACAAGGAGGGCAAGACACAAAAGGTGATTGCTAAAGAAGCTGGCTGTTCGCAGAGCTCTGTGTCCAAGCACATTAACAGACAGGCGAAGGGACGGAAAAAATGTGGTAGAAAAAAGTGTACAAGCTCTAGGGATAACCGCACCCTGCAGAGAATTGTGACGACAAACCCATTCAAAAATGTGGGGGAGATCCACAAAGAGTGGACTGCAGCTGGAGTCAGCGCTTCAAGAACCACCACGAGGAGACTCATGAAAGACATGGGATTCAGGTGTCGCATTCCGTGTGTCAAGCCACTCTTGAACAAGAAACAGCGCAAGAAGCGTCTCGCCTGGGCCAAGGACAAAAAGGACTGGACTGATGCTGAGTGGTCCAAAGTTATGTTTTCTGATGAAAGCAAGTTCTGCATTTCCTTTGGAAATCAAGGACCCAGAGTCTGGAGGAAGAGCGGAGAAGCACAGAATCCACGTTGCATGAGGTCCAGTGTAAAGTTTCCACCGTCAGTGATGGTGTGGGGTGCCATGTCATCTGCCGGTGTTGGCCCACTCTGTTTCCTGAGGTCCAGGGTCAATGCAGCCGTCTACCAGGAAGTTTTAGAGCACTTCATGCTTCCTGCTGCTGACCAACTTTATGGGGATGCAGACTTCACCTTTCAACAGGACTTGGCACCTGCACACAGTGCCAAAACCACCAGCACCTGGTTCAAGGACCATGGTATCCCTGTCCTTGATTGGCCAGCAAACTCGCCTGACCTTAACCCCATAGAAAATCTATGGGGTATTGTGAAGCGGAGGATGCAATACGCTAGACCCAACAATGCAGAGGAGCTGAAGACGACTATCAGAGCAACCTGGGCTCTCATAACACCTGAGCAGTGCCACAGACTGATCGAGTCCATGCCACGCCGCATTACTGCAGTTATTGAGGCAAAAGGAGCCCCGACTAAGTATTGAGTGCTATACATGCACATTCTTTTCATGTTCATTCTTTTCAGTTGGCCAACATTAGAGAAACAAACATTTTTTCATTGGCCTTTAGAATATTCTAATTTTCTGAGATACCAGATTTGATGTTTTCATTGGTTGTCACCTATAAATATCAAATTTAAATGTAATGAACATTGGAAATACATTGGTCTGTGTGCATTGCATGAATATAATGTACAAGTTTCACGTTTTGAATGGAATTACTGAAATATTTTCAACCTTTTGATGATATTCTAATTTACTGGCCAGCACCTGTATATACATTTACACACACACACATACATTTATACATATTCACACACACACTTGCATATATACATTTACACACACACACATACATTTATACATATTCACACACACACTTGCATATATACATTTACACACACACACACACACACATATACATTTATACATATTCACACACACACACACACACACATATATACATACAGATTCACACACACACATCAACATTTATACACTCACACACACACACACACACATACATTTATACATATTCACACACACACACATACATTTATACATATTCACACACACATATATACATTTACACACACACACACACATATACATTTATACATATTCACACACACACACACACACATGCATATATACATATACACACACACACACACATTTATACATATTCACACACACACACATATATACATAAACACACACACATATATATACATAAACACACACACACATACATATTCACACACACACACATATATTCACACACACACACATATATACATATTCACACACACACACACACACACATATATACATACAGATTCACACACACATATAAATTTATACACACACACACACACATATATACATACAGATTCACACACACACATATACATTTATACACACACACACACATACATTTAAACATATTCACACACACATACATATTCACACACACACATATATACATATATATTCACACACACATACATATTCACACACACACATACTTATTCACACACATATACACACACATACATATTCACACACATATACATTTATACATATACACACACACACATATATGCATTTATACATATTCACACACACACACATACATTTATACATACTCACACACACATATACATTTATACATACTCACACACACACATATATGCATTTATACATATTCACACTCACACACATACATTTATACATACTCACACACACACATATACATATTCACACACACATATACATTTATACATATTCACACACACATATACATTTATACATCTTCACACACACACATACATATATACATATTCACACACACACACACACACACACACATATATATATTTATACATATTCACACACACACATATATACATTTATACATATTCACACACATACACATACATTTATACATACTCAGACACACACATATACATATTCACACACAAATATACATTTATACATATTCACACACACACATACATATATACATATTTACACACACACACATATATATACATATATACATATTCACACACACACACACACATATATATATACATTTATACATATTCACACACACACATATATACATTTATACATATTCACACACACACACACACATATATACATTTATACATATTCACACACACACACACACATATATATACATTTATACATATTCACACACACACATATACATATTCACACACACATATACATTTATACATATTCACACACACATATACATTTATACATATTCACACACACACATACATATATACATATTCACACACACACACACACACACACACACACACACACACACACACACACACACACACACACACACACATATATATATATTTATACATATTCACACACACACATATATACATTTATACATATTCACACACATACACATACATTTATACATACTCAGACACACACATATACATATTCACACACAAATATACATTTATACATATTCACACACACACATACATATATACATATTTACACACACACACATATATATACATATATACATATTCACACACACACACACACACATATATATACATTTATACATATTCACACACACACATATATACATATTCACACACACACACACACATATATACATTTATACATATTCACACACACACACACACATATATATACATTTATACATATTCACACACACACATATATATACATTTATACATATTCACACACACACACACACACACACACATATATACATTTATACATATTCACACACACACATATATATACATTTATACATATTCACACACACACACACACACATATATACATATATACATATTCACACACACACACACACATATATATACATTTATACATATTCACACACACACATATATACATTTATACATATTCACACACACACACACACATATATACATTTATACATATTCACACACACACACACACACACACACACACACACACACACACACACACACATATATATATATATATATACATTTATACATATTCACACACACATATACAATTATACATATTCAGACACACACACACACACACACATATATATACATTTATACATATT